GGAGAGGAGTCTATGTTATAATGCTCTTTAACTATTTGGTAAAATAATTTTTGCTGGCAAATTCTCCCCCTATTGCTAACTGAGGGCAACCCAGATCGTTTGACGAGTTTAGTAATTGATGGAATGATCAAATGAGTTATATAAGTAACGAACTACTTTTTTTCTATTCTTCTGAGTTTGCTGATAATTGTTTTGGTGTATGGGTCCCAAATTGGCACGGCATATTCAAGCATAGGAGATATAATGGACTGTATGCAAGGAAATGAACAGAAGGAGTTGTTGATTTTAAGGATCGTCTTAAAAAGAATAATTTATGCAATGCCTTATTCGTAACAACATCTATGTGTTCTGACCGTGATAAATTATTTGTGAACCAAAGACACCGGTATTTATACTCATCGACCTCCGAGAGGGTGTTTCCGTTTGGCCCGTAAGGAAAAAAAGGTGGTTTCTTTTTGTAAGTTATTCGCATAAAGACCGTCTTGTTGTAATTAATAGCCATTTGCCACTCACCACACCATGATATGATTCTTTGAAAGTTTTCATTTAATTTATTCTGATCCTCGATTGACCTGTTTCATAAATCACGCAGTCGTCTGCATAAAGTTGAATCTTAACATTATTATCAGTGGTGATGTCATTTATAAATATCAAAAATATTAGAGGCCCAAGCACGGACCCCTGAGGTACACTAGAAACAACATCAACTCGACCTGAGCAGGTATCATTTAGAGAAACGTACTGGCAACGGTTCATCAGGTAAGCTCTAATCCATGCCAGAAGAGTATTATTTGTTATATTAAAACCTAGTTTGTGAAATTATTTATTATGCGATACTTTATCAAAGGCCTTACTAAAATCCATGCATATAGCGTCCTTTGTTTATAACTTCGGCAAAATCATGCGTAATTCGGACTAACTGTGTACCCACGTCTAAAGCCATGTTGTGCATCTGTTACAACTTCATACTTTTCAAAAAATTCTGTATGTTTAAAAATATGTGCTCAAAGATTTTACATGAAGTAGATGTCAATGAAATCGGCCGATAATTTGTGATGTTGCATATATCACCAGATTTAAAGAGTGGTTTGATTCTCGCGGTTTTCCAGTCCTCCGGCAACGAACCATCAGCGAGAGATTTTTTGAACAATACCAGTAAGTACTTCGCACACCACTCTGCATATCTGGATAAACTTTTATCTTATCTCAGCGATACAGGCAAAATGCTCACCATACTAGCTGATACGAACACTCCTATGATGGCAAAAAATGCATAAATTGATTTGCACTTTTACACACGCTCAAATATTAACCTTGCTAACATAGGTGACTATCGCTGGTGCCACCCATTACATGTTTTGGGTGATAGCTTTTTTTGTCGTACAGAAACAGAACGAACATACCACAAACACAGAGTGCAGACAAACAACTATTTTATTTACAGGCACTTTTCTCACACATATGAAACATGGAAAGCTTCAAAAGAAAACGAAAACCTGAGGCCTGAAAACTGGTCCGAAGCTCTGTGCATTTGCCATCTTTTTTTAGCTGGTGTAGAGCGCCAAGATACAAGTGGAAAAGATGAAGAACAGCGAATTCTCTTTGCGCCTGGGGCTTATAAGCGATTAAAGCCAATAACGCTAAAAACAATGGTTAAAGTGATGAATGGGTTTCACATGAGCTAAAAAAGACTCCTAATGTGCAGAACATCGAACTGGTTTTCTTGGCTTCTCAAAAACTCATTGAAATGTGTCAAAGGGTAAACGGGAGCAAGAAAACAAGCCAGAGTAATATTTGCGACATCAACTACGTTAGAAAGTTTGTGGATTGCAATAAGGAAGTAGTTTCCAACATTCTCTGGACATGCAGTAGGAGGTATACGGACCGACAGAATGATGTTTAAACACAAGATTAAAAGAGAATCGAAATAACTCAACTAATCGCACACCCGGGCCATCTAAACACGTGTATCGCAGTGTCAGTGTATGCCGCTTTTTGAAAAAATCACTTGTCACAGGTTGATGACAAAATGTAGCAAGTCATAACCAAATCTTATGTTGAATTCCAATGGCAGAGTGAAGGCGAAGGCGGGAAGGCGAAGGCGGGAGTCAATGAGAGAGTCGAAGTGTATTCAGAGCAGAAGTGGCTCCGAGGAGCTGGAAATGTTGCTCCGCCGAAATCGGCGAAGTGGACCAGAACTTGGCGTGGCACACTCCTTTCAACGCGTTCACCCGCTTGGTAGCGCCACCGCTGTCGCGCATTTTTGTTTTTTTCCGACAGCTCTAAGTAAAAAAGCTGCAGTTCTTGCATGAACCGTTTTACGAATCGTGTCACCGACAATAAAACTACTATGTACGAGTGGTAAATTGACAGAATTTGAAAGCGGAATTAGCGGAATGGAATGTCTACACGCAAGATATTCTGGGCAACTCTACAGTTCTGCTTCCTCTTCGCTTCTATACTTGCTCTGGTGGTGCGGATTGTGTTTCAATCGCGGATTTGGCGGCATTGCATTACGCCAGAGTAAAGTCCTCCCTCACAGAGTCCATAGGTTGTTCTGACTCTGCCACTGGAATTCAACATCACATGATGACACAGGCACATGCCCACGTATGTATTGGCACACCATCTATTATTCTCTTTTCAAATGAAATTCCCTTCTTGAAAACAGCTAAACTTTGCCATAAGTATGCTAATGTGAATGTTTCTATCTTGCCTCATATTTTCTTGCAATGCTTTCCATTGTGTTCCTGGAAATAAAATAGTTCTAGTCTGTGTTGGTGGGCCAGTCCCTGCACGATACAAAGCACAAACACCCAAGATACAACACCAACTAGCCCCTGTAGCTGCTCTACTTGCGACCGCCGGTGTCCTGTCAGTTGTGATCACCTCCTCAATCTTTGTTTTCTTCCCCGCTCTAGGAAACACATTTTCTTATCACTTCATTGATGCTCGCCCCTTTTCACTCAGTTAATAGTGAAATTGGTGCCATGTATTCGAGGATCAAGGAGAAAGCGTAGTCTCTTCCACTTCTGTTCGAGTCTGCTTTATTATTACAACAATGCATAATTAGGACTTGAATGTAAACATTTGGCAGAAGCTGTCTGGTTGGGTATGAAACTGGAAAATTATTTAGACTCCAATCAAAAGTTTTGAAGAAACCTGACCTTTCAAAACCGATCTGGTTCCTTCCTCAGGGGTGACTGCAGGACTACGTAGCAACGGTGTCTTCAAAGCACTCGCGCGGCGGATAAGGACCCCCTCTTTCTCGCTTTTGCAGTGGAGCGCAGTCCACGTGTATACACTGGGGGAAGGGCTCCGAGAGAGCGGTCGACGTTATGGGCTGTCCTCTGTATGTGCCACAACTCGAGTAGTAACCTCCTCCGCCAGTTCGGCTCTCTTTCAAGGATGGCCCTTGCTTTGAAATTTATTCGGTGATCCAACGTCTCAGCATGTTCGGTGACTGCGCTGCGCTCTTTGTAGAGCTTCTGCACATCTTTGTCGTGTTGCTTCAGTTGCTCCAATAGGTTTTGTGTCTCGCCAATATACGAAGAAGGGCACTCGGCACATGGAATTTTGTAAACGACACAGCGGGTCCTGTCCATTGTTGGCCGGTCTTTCAGGCAGGGGAGGAGGCTGCCCAGCGTACATGAAGGCACATGTGCGATGCGAACCCTTTCCTTCTTGAAGATCTGCGCCAACATCTCACGGGCTCACTGAACGTATGGGACCGGTACGCATTTCGGGGGGCTGCCAATTAAGGTTGATTGGGGTTTTCATATCCTTTGTTGCTCTGCGCGGCGGGTGGCGGCTCGAATGAAGTTTTTTGGGTATCTGTTTTTTCTGAGGTCCGCAATTACGTGGGCCTCTTCTTTCTTTCGCTCTGTGCCATTGGAGCATAAGTTCACAAATGTGCCAGTGCCCTTAGCTGTCTCCTCTGCCCATTCTGCGCTTGAGGGGGACGCAAGCGTAAGTGAAAAGCCTCCTTTGGCAGTTGATGAGCTCTGCCGTCTACTGGAGTTCTGCCTGTCCAGTGCGTACTTCTCCTACAACGGAACTATTTTCAGGCAGAACAGTGGAACCGCGATGGGAGCTTCCATCTCAGTCACGATGGCAAACCTGACCATAGAGTACATAGCAGAGAAAGCACACAGCTTCGTCTCACCACGACCCAAGCTTTTTCTCCGTTATATGGACGATTGCTTTTGCGTGATGAAGACGTCTTATATCAGCACCTAAAATCCGTCCACCAAGCCGTACAATTCACGACCCCGTCCGAAAGACCGGCCAACAATGAACAGGACCCCCGGTGTCGTTTACGAAATTCCGTCCGCCGAGTGCCCTTCTTCGTATATTGGCGAGACTAAAAACCTATCGAAACGACTCAAACAACACGCCAACGACGTGCAGCTATACAAAGTGCGCAGCGCAGTCGCAAAGCATGCCGAGACGTTGGACCACCGGCAATTTCGAAGCAACGACCATCCTTGAAAACGAGACGAGAGAGGAGAAGGTTACTACTCGAGTCGTGGCATATAAAGCGAGCGGCCCGAAACATCAACCACTCTCTCGGAACCCTTCGGACTGTGCTTCACGGCAAAACGAGAAAGAGAGAGGGGGGTCATTCACCACCCCGCGAGTGCACTGCTGCGTAGTCCAGGCACTGCGACGTGCTCCCTAACGGGCTGCAGAAATTAGGTGGTTTTCTCCTCTTCTAACCACAACCACTACCATCACCACGTAGTCCCAGTTTCCCCTGAGGCAGGAACTAAGTCGGTTCCGAAACGTCGGGTTTCTTCAAAACTTTTGGTTGGAGTCTAAATCATATCACATAATCGAGACGTACTTTTGAGATAGAACGGTGCATTCAGAGAAAAGAAGGCACCAGACCTCTGCAGCACACCCTGCGTTTTGTTTGGGCAGCTCACGAACCGCACATGCGCGCAGCCTCGTAGAACACATATTGCTTTGGTTACAGCTAGGCAAAGTAAGCAGCCTACTTGTAGTAGATGGTCGTTGCCGCATCCTTGTGAGGTACGCTGATGATACACAGCGCCCGAATGCTCATTGTGTGGTGCAGCCTTGAAGCAACGCCCCTCGCTACGCCGGCCTCTCCACAACCAACGCCTCCTCTAGATATATGCCTGAGGAATGGCTCGCGCTCCCAGCAGAGTTGGCCTGCCCAACGCCTCCTCTAAACAATGCCTGGGGAATGGCTCGCGCTCCCAGCGGAGTTGGCCTGCTTTCAGTTTTGAGCAAGCGCCGCGCGGTGGCGCTCGCGACCGAGACTATAATGTTCTGTAAAGGGCTTCACCCTATAATTCAGGATGATGGCGCAGAGTTTTTCAAAGCACTGGGATTTAGGGACAGCGAGGGCAAAATAGACTTTAAGCGGGTAGACTTAACTAGAAGGAGGTTATCTGATTGGTGGCTAAAGTCAAGGCACGAGTGAAAATTAAACCCTTCACTGCGAAGTACGAATCCTCAAACTCACTTTTTGAAGCAAAAAATAAATGGAGTTTTAGGTTCATTAAGTATTACGGCTTAGTGGCGCTAGCCACCGCCCGATCGAAAGGGTACAGCCATATCTATCTATCCATCCATCCATTCATTATCATCACAGCGGGCGCAACGTTTCTAGACTAGTCTAAAAACATTGAGCGGGCGGTACCAGCTAGAGGTATAGTGCCTAGAATATACTATATTTCAAGTATTTTCTAGCCAGTATATTTCTAGACACTACCAGAGGTGTGCGCCGAAGCCGAGGCCTCCGTGGCCGAGGCGATTTTGACCGGCGGCGGCGTGGGGGTCGTCCCAACGTTACTAGAATAGGTAGTAACGTTGGGTCGTCCAGAGTCGGCGGCAGCGGCGTTGTCGGCGCACGCCGGTTTGTTCATCGGTGGCGGCGTGCGGCCAATTTTCGTCGGCGGCGTCGGCGGCACAGAAACCGAAACTGAAAATTCAAAAGGCTCTCCTGCCACAGGTTTCTGAATTCGTTGAAATTCAGTGATTTTCATCCAAATAGCATAAATGACACTACACAGATGTGTCAACATCGCGATGAATGCAAAGCGTTTTGTAAAATAGTTTTTATTTGACATTCATAAAAAAATAACGCGTATTTCAATCTATGTCCATGTTCTACCGTAAATGTGCAGCACTTTGCTTTTTTTTAATTTACGATGGAGCAGTTTGTTGCTGTTGTTGGCTATGTCATACTTTATGAAACCTTCTTTCATTGAACAATGAGCGTCACGTCACTCATTTTGCTTTTTCCGAATCCGATCTTACTTTTACACTGTACGCTGCACAAAAAAGAAGCACCTCTGCTTCGAGTTTTCTTATTGCGATTGCATGAAACCGCTTTTTTGAGTATCTGTCTTGCTTTGAATGTAACTTTCCTTCAAACGAATCAAAATACCTACTTTTCACAATGTGAGAATCTTCTATGCAGCGGTATAGGATGCGGAAGGAAACAAATCTACGCATTTACTCAACTAGTTCTCAGCACGGTGTTCAATGAATGAAGTGTAGACATGGGCGTGGGCGAGGCTGGTGGTGCAACACGGGCACTTGAACCCTTCAAGCTCCACCAGCACTTGCTACCCACTCTAGCGACACCAACACGACCCGCTCCCTCAGTCGTGATGCAAGCTGAAAGAAGGGTTTGCATCCCCCCAAGACCTGTCGATGGTCTTATGTGCAGATGAAATCAAATGCAATATTTGCTCAGATACACAGCCCATGCTGGTCACAAGCTCGGCGTCCGTTGACCACGCCTGCAGAGAACGTTGACTCCCCGACCCCTTTCACAAATAAGAATGCTTGATAAGTATGTATAAAACATTCAACTTTTCAATGCTTTTTTGTAGCGCGTAAACGTGCTCAATACCCATCAGATGTGTGAGACAATCGAAATAGCAACTGCCACTCTCGACTTGTTCCGTAAAAGACTCGATAGAAGAATGCAATTACGAGTGCCGGGAACCTATGTTCGTTTGTATATTTGATTTCTAGGCATGATTCAAATTCTTATATAAACAAAAATAAAACCTGCAACATATTAAAACAAAATGGCTGCTATTGCAAAATGTGTGTCCCCCTTCGTGATTTTTTTAGACTTACGCCTCTGCAAGCCACATCTGGTGTCACAAACTTGCAAGTGTTCCCCCTCCTCCCCACGACATCTCCCAATATCCCCCCTCCCCAATAAAAAGGCACCAATGTAGGCCTCCGTAGGCCTCCATGATTGCCTACTGGCGTGCGGCGGGCCATTTCGGTTGCTAGGACCAACAGTACCGATTTCGACATGCTTTACTGAAGGCGCTGAAGGATCAAGAAAAGGCCAATATTTGTAAATTTCTTGAGAGTTCAGTGATAGTTTCTTTGTGAATACCGTGGATTATTGAACCTCACTTTGAGTGTAATCCTCAAATAAAAAAAATGGTTTCATCCTGTGTCACTGCAGAGTCAGAAGCCATCACATGTGCAGGCATCATTATGCTTCTATATAACATTGCTAAGATTCAGTACATTTGTACAAATAATTCTCGTTAATTAAACATCTTGAGTATAATCCTTGCTTGGGTTAGTATGTGTGAAACATAAATTTGAGTTTCAAAAATTCTCATTGTGGGTTTCTGCAGCAAAGACACATTGATTGAAACTGATGACTTCGGAGCTATGGCAGAGGTAACATTCGTTATGTTTTTTTCGGTTACGGTAACGGTAACCTTTTTTATTTATTTATATAACGTGGAGCCGTGAAACGTCCCTCTTTTTCTTCTTAGATAAACGAGTGAGGTATTTAGTTACTTTTTACTGTAACGAATACATCACTAAACAGACTTACAGGAGTGATGTCGGCCCACACCGTCAGTTGTTGTTGCGGTCTATAGGCTGGCTGTAAACATTATATGGATATATTCCTTTCATCCAGCACGTGATAGTGAAGGTTTTCTCCACCATTCATAATCTCGACCTTTGAAGAATACACAACAGCTTCTTAATAATATGCAGATTATCCCACTGAAGCGTGACTTCGTTTCGTTAAAGTTTACAGTCAACGTGAGTCTGTCGTCACGCCGTATGTTTTAGGTAGAAATTTAGTCTACTCAAAATACCCCAAGACGTCGATCCACCTTGCAACGCGCGGCTACCCGCTGACGGTTATTTATGAAAATAGCATCCACAGTGGAACCTGTCGTATCTGCTGAAATTTTATCGCAACATTATTATACTGCCACGCTCGCTTGTATTTTTATGTCACTGTCTTGCGCAAAGGCACTGCCGTAGTGGTTCAGTAGCTAAGGTACTCGGCTGCTGCCCGCAGGTCACGGGATCAAGTCCACCTGCGGCTGCATTGTTTTCGATAGAGGCGAAAATGCTGTAGGTCCATGTGCTGCGATTTGGGTGCATGTGAAGGAACCCCAGGTTGTCAAAATTTCTGGAGTCCTTCACTATACGGCATCTCTCATAATCATGTGGTGGTTTTGAAACGTTAAACACCACATATTAATCAATTGCCTTGCGCAAAGGACGCTTGGCTGTCTGCGAAAACTTTAGATTATTTTAGAATCTTTGATAAGCTTGAGGCACCTACGATATGGATGCTACGTGTATAAATGACGACGTACCTTCGCGCAGATCATATTACCGCATCGACCAATGCTCTGATTACCGCTATCTGTGTAAAGCACGAATTTCTAGTACTTTGCACTTTCCTATGCACATGTTCACTCAATAAAAAGTGTCGTCTTGAGCAACCCACGTACCATCTTTTTTGACGTCGCAACCACGTGGCAATACCGTAAGTGAAATGAGAACGCTGAAATGATCGATACGAAACAGTGAGATGGGGCGTAAGTGCACGCCCAAGTCTATTTGAGATGCGTATACCACAAGCTATTTTCTTCTATAGAACCAATATGATGCGGATTTGTTAAATTACTGGGAAGTTGAATGTCAAGAAAGAAAGAACACGAACTTGGAAAGAGACAGCGGAGACGAAAAGTGATAGGTATTGACGTAAAATTTGATCGGTCATTCCACGCCAAACATCCAAGGCGTTTTTGCGACTATCTCAGGTGTATTCGAAAAATGTCGGGCTGATTTACTCTATTGAAAGCAGTCTATTGCGAAAATGTTTTGCAGAGAAAAATGTTTTTGGTCACCTATATGTGACCGAAATTCCGGCAATAAGCTGGGCCCTACATCGAGTCTTAAGATAAAAGAATATTCACTGAGTGAGTCTATGTGGGCTCCATTTATTTTGCCGACCTGGGGTTCCAAATATTTAAAACCTCCCACGATGGCATGCCTTGTTGTCGTATTGACGATCCGGCTTGTAAAACCGAAAATTTTATTTTTCAAATTATAAGACTGTTCATATTTCCCCCCTCCCCGGAACTCGGTCTAGAGTTGGTCCTTTGACAAAAACCACTCTTATATCTTGAAAGAATGCTTGGATATCAACTATTCATATCTCTCATTTAAGATGTGGAAATGAAATGGCCATCACTAAATGACTGATGAGGTGAAATATTAACATTAAAAAGCATAATAAACTTGACTAAAAAGCTAATTATACAAAAACAATGTAACCTGAACTAATGATGTCACCACATATCTAAAACCTCATGAATGTATATTGCATACCTGCAAAGTGCAGTTATTCAAGCGCTTTTTGCACTGAAATTTGGTCACGGAGTTAATCCCGTTCACGGTGGTGCTATTTTTAATTTTAACGGTTGAATATCTAACGAAGCATTAGGAAATTCTTTGCATGAAAGACGTATTTTTTTGTGATGTAATTGAGCATTGTATACATTGTGCTGACACGAAGTTTAATGCAGGTGATCTGTTTATAGAGTACACCGTTCGGTGACTTCGGTAAAATAGAAACAGCAATTTATGTTAATTCATGCTACAAAACTCACGTGACCTGCTCCCAGAGAACAGAAGAATGCATAACGAAGGGCGTTACTAACGAACGGAGACTTTAATGTGTTTTCTGTAGTCCAATCTACAAACGTTCGTATTAAACGAGCATGACGCGGTACGAAGGCATGGAATTGGGTTCTGCAGCATGTTGTGACGCATGTGCCACTTCAGGTCACCTTTATTACGTGACATTGGAATCCACACTGAGCTTGATCTATGATTATAATCA